CTTCCCAATACTCACGCATACGTTAAAACAGGTAATATTAAACAACGTGCTAACTCTGACAGCCTGATAACCCATTATCTTAAGGTGCTGGCCTATGCTCTCTATTAAATATCAATCAAAATATAGGCAACTATAACTGACCTCTGTAATTCCAACTATGAGATATTAGGCTATTTTATCTTATTGAAATAATCAGAAAAAGGAAGGAGGATATAGAGGACTCAAAGAAGAAGGGATGTCCTGAGAAGAGGAATAACAATGAGCACGTCCAATGGCATCTATGAATAACCACAAGAGCTCTCGTATTGCCAAAGCAGCATAACCATGGGTGACATCGTCACGATTTTCTAAATAGGAACCTTAGAGATCTCATATGCCACATTAACAGGCTGAACTTTATCCTATAGGAAACAGGAAGAAAAACAGGAAGACACGAATACAAATTTTTTTTTTAAACTAGCCCTGGCAATTATGTAGCTGATGAATATGAGAGAAACAGAGAAATAATATAGAAAGAAGGAAGAAGAGATAGGAAGATACTGCAAAAATAGAGATGATGAGGACCTGAAGTAATATAGTCGTAGAAGAAATAGAAAGCAGTGGCAGATTCAAGATCACTTTAGAAAGCAAGCTTTTCAGGTATTATAGGGGCTGAGGGCGAAAGCAGAATCAAGGCTGAGTCCCAGTTTTCCAGAACAGGTAACCAGGTGACTAACAAGAAAATATGAACAAAGCCAGTTTTAAGGGGGGAAATGCTAAATTCCACTTTATACGTTTTCAATTTGGGGCACCTGTGGAATATTAGGGAAAAAGTCTGAAGTTGGGTGCAAACATGAGCTAAAGATGAAGATTTGGACATCATCAAGACATAGGAAACGTTACAAAGAAGAACAGCAGGACAATTGAATTCTGGGGGTCAACAATATTTAAGGGACAGGCAGAGGAAGCAGAATCATAAGAAGAAAAAAAAAAAAAAAGAACCACCAGAGAACAGAGCATATAGCCAACACTCTGAGAAGTTTTGATAAGTGGAGAAAATGGGATGATAAGCTAGGCAGGAACAAAATAGAGTAGAAAATGAGGAGAAACTGTCAAGATTTTTTTCTCTAAAAATAGGAGACCTGGACTCCTGAACATAGTTTTAGATTACAAAAAATAAGCCAGTAGAGCTGGGGAGGCTGAAAATGACTGCTTGTACTTTGTCCTAGAAGAAACCAGCTGGAATGAGCATGAAAAAGCTTCTTAGAAGGTACTAGCCAGATAATATTTCTGTATTAGTCTGTTTCTGTTGCTTATAACAAAATACCTGGAGGAGCTGGGTGATTTGTAAGAAAATCAAATTTATTGCTTACAGTTTCAGAGGCTGGTAAGTCCAAAGTCCAGGGAACACATATGGTGAGAGTCTTGTCCTGGTGGCGACTACAGAGACTCAGGGTATCATATGGTGAATATGGTGGAGCAGAGACAGACACTAACCTTCTCATTCGCACCCCTTTTAAAGCCCACCAAACCACACCTATGACCACCATTTTTAATCGATTCACTACAGCATGGTCTTATAATCTAATCACTTCCTCAAGGCCCCACCTTTCAATTACCATAATAGGATTTCCCACCCTCAACAGTTATAGTGGGAATTAAGTTTTGGGGAGACATTCAACCCAAGGCAGCTTCAAATTGTTTACCATTAGTGTTGACATATCTACTTCACTACAGTTGCAGTGGCTTACTTTTGCTTATACAGTTTAATTATATACTGAATGTTAGGTATTTTTCTCATGTGATTATCTTAACTGCACCATTAATAAAGGGTAACTGTGTAATTCTCTTTCCTTCAGTATCTATTCATAGCATCAGGCACAGTATACTACACATGGTAAGGGCTTGATAAGTATTGCTGAGTATTAAAATCACTAGCCTCCAGTGTGTTAAGCAGAAAAAGCAGAGAATACAGGATGGGGGTAGGTTTAAGTCCTACCCAGTTCTAGCTACTTAATAGTTTTGTGCCATCAGGCAAGTCACTGTATTTCTCTGGGATTCAAATGTCTTCATCTATAAAATAAGCTATTAACATCTATACTACTTGCTATAGTCCTAAAATATACAAATGCACTATTTAGATTACAGGGTTGCTATAGAGCCCTAAAATATGCAAAAGCATTATTTAGATTACAGGGCTGTTATAAAGCTTTACAGAAATGCTATCAATTATAAGAGGAAGTTGTAGTAAGGTAAATAGCATAGGGAAAAAGGAAAGTTAGACTCTCTCACTAGCTGGGTAAACATAAGCTAGTTATCTAATCTCCCTCTAATTTTCTCACCTATGAAAGGTCTAAACCTTCCTCTCAGGTTTGTAATAAGAATTTGAAAAAAGCATAAATATAAAAGCAGTCATTAAACTTGGCTCATTTCCTAGATTACTACCAGGACCATATCTATTTGACTTTGTGAAACCAATTTACAAATTCCTAAAACACAGTAGATGCACACTGAGCGCATGTTCATCCACTGAAAATAAGTTTTATACAATTTACCAAAGGTTAAACTATGAAATAATTTCATAATGAGTATATCACAAGCCATCTTGAAAACACAGGGCTGTCCTCTCTTTAAGATTCTCATTTTTAAGCTTAAAGATAGGGCCTGTTAGTACAAGACAGTGTGTGTTCTTTCTATCCACACAGAGTGGTAAGTGTCGGCACAGCTGCTGTCCTCTATGCCAACAATGACTGCATCAAAATTGAACTGTGTTGTTTCATCTAGGGCTTCAGGAACCTTCAGGTTGAAAGGTTCTTTTTCATATAAATTTCTCACCACCAACAGCAGACAACACAGAGCAGGTGCTATGCCACTGTCAACAGGCATAATAGCTCCTAAAGACCTGTCTCAAGCAGGATGCCAATAGAATTCTTTGAAATGTTTAACAAAGAAAATAAAGAAGTTACATTGCTATCGTCCATAAAATCAGCAGTTCAAAAGAATAAAAAGTATGTGAGAAGAGTGAACTGTCACTGTCAAAATAATTGTCACTGAGTTTAAGCAGCATCTTTTATTTGGAGGTTTCAGAACCACTTAAACTCAAACCTATACAATTCAAGGGCAATAATCTTATACACAATCTAAATATAGACAAACTGAGGGAAGGTAAGATTAAAGACATTCAAATTAAAATAAGTCCTAGTAAGCAAGCAAACATGGGAACTTAGAAGTTTTTCCTCATGGTCTCATGATTTAATAACTCTTCCAAATAGTTTGGATTTGTTTTTTGATTGTTTGTGGGTTGTTTTTTTTTTCAGTTCTTCTCCTATTTTAAGACCAAAAAGCAACTTGGAGATTGCTGCTTTCCCTCTCCCGCAATCCCTCCTGCTCTTCCTTTGTAACTTGGGCCCAGCAGAATGGATCTTACAAAAGGTGGCGAGAACAAGGGCCGTTCTGCCTTCAACAAGGTGGTGACCCAAGAATACACCAACAACATTCACAACTGTATCCATG